CCCCTGTGTCTGTAGTTGGTGCCAGTACACCCCCGGAAGCTGACATGGAAACCCAAAAAGGGCCCTATAAAGACTACAGTCCCTCTAAAAGGGGGCTATATCAAGCATAGTCTAGACTCCTAGTATCCCCCTTAATAACCCCTATAATCGTCTCCTATATACTCCCCTGTATAATCCCTAATTGAAGGAGTTTAGACTATAGCTCAAATGAATTAATGACCCCTAAACCCAACAGTGTTCCTGCCTTGAAACACCAGATTCCTGGCAGCTTCACTGAAGCCACCACCATGGCGTGCCAAGACACATGCACTAGGTAGATCCCCTTAGGGTTTCGGGTTTAGGGTTTAGGGTGGCTTAGGGGGTAATAGTACTTATACGAGGGTCCACTTATCTTCCTATTATACCACTATTACAGGGTGGGGCCCTTACACGCGCAGTTCATTCGCCTTTTCACGCTACATCTTGAAGCCCAGGAACCTAGGTCAAAACATCCCATGATCTTAAGGTGTGACGTAAAAAAGGGTTGAAAGAATCCGTAAGTCTTCCGACCCAGAAAGAACTTCTGAACTTCAACGCGATCTGGAGAGTTTTTGCAGATTGTAGTCCCCGTTAAGTCAATAGAATATGGGGTATAAGGGGATCTTATTATGATTTACCCAAAGCCATGTTCTATCTACTTAAGGAGGACTATAGCTTGAGTCCAGTCTTTTTGTGGTTCCAGAAGTTCTCAGCTCAACGCCTTTGACAACAAGTAGGTTCTCAAGAGCCCTGTCATGAGGAGCAGTGCTCCTGAAGATGCATCAGTACTACAGGGGCCTAAATAACTACCAATATCATTCTGAGGTCAATTTCAATTACCATAGACCAGAATTACATAAGGAAAACGGAAAAGTAATATTGGTAATTATTTAGGCTCCTACATTAGGGGAAGTGTGCGGATGCCGATGGCAATTGCAGGATCCTGCCAGAACTCCCATAGGATTTAGGGTTTAGGGTTTCGGGGTTTAGGGCTGAGGCATCACAAGAAATACAACAGCTGTTGGTGTCGATAGCCAGGCTGGTACTGACTATGACTAATACTAACAAACCAAATTCCAGTACAAAGGAGCACTGCTGCAACAGACCTCACATGTAGTTCCCGCTTGAGAAGTTCTATCAAGCCCCTTACCAAAACGTGCATGACAAACCCCACAAGCAACTGCATAGGCTGGGTTGCCTTTATTAAGGACGTTAAATTAAAGTACCATAAAATGGCCATGTCGGTTCCTGTAACATAGAAACCAGGAATCTGCATGGGGTTTGGGCTTTTGGGCCTTTTAGGGCTCCATGTTTGTTTGGGAGTGACCCCAACCTTGCACCCTATGCCCAAGCCCCAAACCAAAAACCGGCAACCCGGCTTAGGCCTTAGGGTTAGACACCGGGGCACTTCATTGCCCACCAGCTGGTGAGCCCTACACTATATACACTCCCTACGGTAGATACCAACATCCTGCCTGACTCAAAGTACATGATACCTTGCAAAGGGTGGCATTCTGGCACGTAAAGATCATGCAAGATTTGCGGTATCAAACACATCCATAGCTTGGAGAAGGCTACCTAAATGGACACAGGCCCACATGGCCCTGAACGCAAATCTAAGTGGACCTTCAACCAGAAACTGGGTCGCTGTACAGGAACTTAGATTATAGTTACCGTAACATGGACATGTAGTACATAATAGGGCTTCGATTTAAGTTCCTTAACAGCAACACAATAAACCCGAAATCCTGTACCTAGCATCCCCAGAATTGTGACACTAGAGAGCTCAATGTAACTTAGGTTTACATAGAACTTAGGAGCCCCAGAATGGGAAAGTAGCTTATATACCCTAAATCTTACATCCCACACCCTAAACCTCTACAAATCCTAGACCCTGAGCCGTTACAAATCCGAAACCCTACACCCCTAAAAAATCCTGAATCCGAAGCCCGAAGCCCTTACAAAATCCTACATCCTCACCTGCATTACTTGCTGAAGGGAACAAGGGTATATAGTCTACATAATACATGCTAATCTTCCCTACTAACCCCAAACCCTGAATCCCTAAACCCTTAAAACCCCTAAACCCCTAAACCCTAAATCCTACACCCCTAAACCCCAAAACCACAAAACCCTTAGAACCCTTAAACCCGACACCCCTAGACCCTTAAAACCCCTAAAACCATGAACACCCTAACCATCCCAAGCCGAGACACGAAGCAACTGCGCCACGGCGTGAAAGCACCATCCCAGCACCCGGCCGTTCCCTCCTCAGCAAGGCAGGGCAGAGGCTCCATTAGGGTTTAGGGTTTGAGGGTTTTAGGGTTTAGGGTTTGAGGGTTTGAGGGTTTGAGGGGTTTTAGGGGGGTTTAGGAATTGGGGGTTTTAGGGGTTTAGGGTTAGGGGGTGTGGGATTTAGGGAGTTTAGGGGTTTAGGGCTTTGGGGTTTGGGGTTTAAGATTTAGGGATTAGGGTTTAGGGGTTTAGGGTTTGGGGTTTAGGGGTTTAGAGATTTAGGGTCCAGGGGTTAGGGGTTTAGGGGTCAGGGGTTCAGGGGTTAGGGGTTCAGGGTGTAGGCTTCAGGGCAGAGACTATTCCCCAGGCAGATAGAGCCTGAAATGACTCAAATGACTCTTCTCCTAAACCCTTGTCCCTAAACCCTAAACCGCCTTCGCTGGTTCGGGGAGATTCTATATCGTTTAGGGAGAGTACCCAATAAAAATATGAAGAGTCAACTCAAAAAGTTTAGGCTTGTCAAGGGCATTAGTAACGCCCTAAACCCTAAAGCCTAAACCCTTTGGGGTTTAAGGATTTGATGTTCGGAGGGATGACATAAACGTTTTACAGGGATTACATGTGACCACATACGGTTTAGGGTTCAGACGTGGAAATATGGGCATACATTTAGTCCTACATAATAAGCGGCTTTTGGCAGCCACGGCCTCGAAAATTTCAAGTTGTCATTCCAGTATGACTAGGTTCCCCAGTATACCGTAAATGATAAACGTACCCTCTTTCCTACTATTCAGCTTTAGTAAGGAGACCCCCAAATAAAAAGGGAAAAGGGCACTACTGGGGTAACTAGATGACCATAAAAGGGTCCTAAGTTGAGTGGCTCTGATGCGGGCAACCCCTTTCAAAGGCGTTAAGCTTTTGCCTCTTACGCGCCGAATCGGGCTGGACTGGCTGAAATATGGGAGTATGCGTACTACATGGTTTTTCATAGGGGTTATAAGACCAGAAACACCTACACATTTATGCCAAGATATGTTGCAACAAAGCCTGGTAAGACCATCTTCGGTATATACCACCAGCTGGGCTGATGTCGAATGAGATTGCAATGGTGTGGTTTCAGGGCTCGGGCATCAGGCTGAAGTTCCTGTGTGGGACACTAGGATTTAGGGTTAGCCTGCCTAAAGTAGTGTGTAATCAATACCCTCCAGGGACTGTAGGAGGGACCCCTAATAGGGACCCTTAATCCCATTGCCATATAAACCATTATATAGTCATTATATAACCCCTATATCCCCAGGTAGTCCCCATATTAACCCCCATAGACTCACTGGGACACACAGGGAACCCTAAGGAGCTCCGCAGGCTTCGGGATCCGTCTTCAGGTGCCATGCACCCCGAACCTTTTCA